GGGGGGGGGGGGGGGGGGGGGGGGCAGGTTGAGGTCGTTCCTCAGGATGAAACCGATATCTGGATGTTTTGTCCGGGCTAATGGCTGAAGCTCCAGCTCGTATGTCTGTGTCACTCCAGAGGCCACGGCAGCTCTCTGGGCCTCGGCCGGGAGCTGGAGGGGGGGGGCGGGGTGGTGGGTGGGGGGGGGGCATGGAAATGAGCCCCGCTGCCCCCCCGACTGGCATATGGCGTGGCTTTGTCCTTGGCCGTTGAGCCAGAAGTGATGCAATTTGTTGGCATGTCCTGTCATTCCGTCCCAGCGAGACCTCCAGGAAACAACAGCAGAAGACATGGAAGGGCGGCCAAGAGCTGCACCTCCACCAGCAGCCTGCCAAACCCCGGCCAGGGCGGGATGAAAAACAACTGCCTCCAAACGCCACCGATGATTGAGGCCCTGCTATGAAAGCTGAACAATGAGAGATATTTGTCTTAACTGGACCTGGGGCTCTGCATTAGTTAATGAAGGGCTGAGGAAAGCGAAAATGGGATTAAAAGCACACAAAGAGGTTCAAATGTCCTGTTAGCATGAAGGTGGGGGGGGTTGCAGGTGAGTCAAAAGTAACAGGACTCTGTTTTGCTAGAACCAAAAAGGGAAAAGGACATGCTGCTGCTGTCCCTGGTGCTGAACGCGTCCAATGGCTGGGCGGCTTTCTGCACTGATAACTTTTAAACCACAACAGATTCTGAAAATCTGACTGTAGCAATCGATTTCTGACACAATTCTGCTCTTCTTTGATATGTTACATGACCACCTTCTTTTGGAAAAAAAATCGCCTTTGGTCCAACATGGCGTCTTTCAGGATGGCGGCTTTCAAGATGGCGGCCATGTTCTGGACGCAGCCTATTCCTGGTTCTGATGGAGGTTTCCTCCTGGTTCTGGTTCAGAGATTGGATCAGATCAAAGTTTCAGAGTAAACTAATTTGCTCTGAACAAATCTGATAAATTTGGATTTAAATCAAATCTGTTTGTATTTGTCGCTTTATAAATAAAGTTGAATCAAACCAAAGAAGCTGACGAGTTTTTTGTTGTGTTTGGTTTAATCCTTTTGTTGGTCTTAATCTTTGTAATCCTTTAAAAAGGAAAGTGTTGTCACTATTTGGGTCAAAGACAGATGTTGGTGCATACTTGGTGTAAATATTAAGTTAAAATAATGAAGGTTACTTTAACGTTTACATGAGAGTTGATCTGAAGCGTTTCTGGTCGTTTTTTTTCTCAGATCTAATCACAACTGGCTCCGAAACCATCAGAAAACAGCCATTTTCTCCCCCTGGGAGCCCCTGCTTGACCCCAAGCTGGCCAATGTTTAATTAACTCTCTCAGACTTGAGGGGATGAGACGACGTCTTCAAAGAAAATGGCCGCCGCTTTGTGAATGATTAAATCCAGCTTTGTGCAGACTTTGCTCATAGTTGACCTCAGCTTCTGCTGAGAGGCCCAGACAAAGAGGATTTCCCTCCAGGGGGCTCTGAGCTGCCGGTGGGAGATGCTGCGGATGCTGCTGCCGGGCCTCTGATCTGGTGCTCAGAGAAGCCCCCACCTGAAGGGGACCAACAAAGACGTTTGTTGTTGTTTTCCCTGCAGATCTGTCGGCCTGGTCGGGGGCTCCCATTGTGGCTTGGGCCGGGACAGACGGACCCACTTAGAGCAGGCTGGTCCTCTGGTCCTGAGCTGGGTTCTGGACCAGCTCCGGTATGTGGAGCTAACCGGCTAATGTGATTAACGGACACAGGTTTCTCCTGCTAGCTGAGCTTTTACTGCAGCAACAGGCAGCTGATTGGTTCCAGTTCAAGTTTTGGTCGATCGAAATTAGCTCAAAATACAGTAAATGTTCTCATAATTTCTTCCGACCTCAGTCCATCTTTGTCTCCTCCTTTGGTGTTTGTGGCAGGTTAACTTGGCTAACTTGGCTAGTTATTAGCTTATAATTTATTGCCCTGAGTTCCAGAGTTTCCATGTAGTTTGTTTAAGAGCTTAGGTGATTCGGCTAGCTCAGCTAGCTTAGCTGATTCGGCTAGCTTACCCTCAGATCATGGTTCCTGCTGCAGCTCCTCCGTAAAACCCCATAAAACCCTCAGATCAGGGTTTCTGCCATAGCTCCTCTGTCTCCGGCCGCCATAAAACCCTCAGCTTTTACAGCTCTTTCTTTTACTGCTTTGTGTTTGCCAGCTTTTCTGACACGTGTCCCGTTTTGGTTTCTGTTTACGGGCCCTCAATCTGCAGATTGGCAGGGCCAGCCTATTGTAGAGCACATTTCCTGTACAAGACAATTCAAAGTGCTTCACAGAGCAGAAAAACACAAAAAGAAAAAGAATCAACAATTAGAAAATTACATAGATAAAAAGTGAAGGGTGCAGATAAAATACATTCGGTTTCCGTCTTCTCAATGCCTGCGCTCTGCATATCAAACACGGCCACGCGTCTCATCTCTCATCTGAAGATGAGACCATTAGAGTCTGGACCGGCCTCAGAAACGGGTCCGAGCCTCACGCGCCCTCCATTGAGTCCAGCAGCCTTTTATGTCCGCGCAGCTCTCATTTGCATTCAGGTCTGAGCTCCATAAATAACAATAAAACCTTTGAAGGAGCTGAATATGCAAACAGGATCCTGTAAAGATCGAGCCACCAGGAGCAGAAGAAGAAGAAGAAGGCAGCAAACAAACGTCCTCCGGAGGCCAAATGTTCCCCAAATGTTCCCTAAATGTTCCCTAAAACTGAACTCCAGATGCTTCACCCCCAAATCTGGACTCAGAAAGGAGAAGTTTTCCCTGGATGGAAATCCCGGAAATCTCTGCTCATAAAAAGCTTTTTCCTGAAGAGGCTTCACCTGATGTTTTAGAGGTTTAGTCTGAATTTCTCTAAACAAATTTTATGATCGTTTCTCCGGTTTTCTTTGTGTTTTCCTTCAGACAAAATAAAAACCTGCTGCTGTTGAGCTATTTCAACCAGAGATGTTTTCAGGTTCAAAAACAGGAGGGTTAAGCCCCTGGTCCAGTTTAATTAATGTAGTGATTGATATTTTTTGGATATTTTTTAAAAATTAATATTAATGATATATTATATATATTATTACAATTATTTTATGTTCTAAATGCATATTGTATTTTAATGTGCATCATTACATTATAATTATCAATGATTTACATTTGAAAAAATATATATGCACATATATATATATGTATGTATTTATTTTATATGTATTATTTTATCCAGTGTTTTCAACCCGGTTCTGGTCCTTTAAAGTCTGATAGCAGAACTGATTTCTCTTTCTGTCTCCCAGCTCAGAGATTCAGCAGTTTTTGGGACATTTTGTGAGAAAATTGACTAAATATTTATGTTTTTCCAACACTCTGGTGTATGATCCCCTTTTTTTTTGCAGAAGACATCATTTTCCCCTTTTTGTCTAAGCGGCCAGTCAGAATGTGTCAGGAATCGAGGTTTTGTGTGGTAAAACTGGAAAATTAGAATAAAATAAATGAGAGCTTCATGTGAGCAGGACACATGTCTGAATGAATCTGAGCTGCTTGGATCCTCTGGTGGATCCTCGCTGCTCTCAGACTGAATGGATTCAGCTCATTGTTGGCTGACTGTTGTCTGGTGGGTACTTGAAAATGCATTAACCTCCAAACCAGGTGGGGGGGGGCAGCCAGAGCCTGCATGTGGAACCGGTGGGCCCATTTAAAAGGCCTGATCAGAGCTCTGTTCAGGAGTGTCTCCACTTCATCCTAATGTAGCTTTTAGCTGATGCTAATAGATCAGACAAGCTAATGGACCTTTGTCACAGGCTGCTGAGTGCACGTGGACACACACACACACACACACACACACACACACACAGACCAATGACCCTAATTAATAACGATCAGTCCTCCCTCACACCGGCCGGCCAAATGTGCAAATGGGACAATAAAAACAGCTCTTAAACGCAGACTTTACCAGGAAGTCGGCTGAAACAATCTCTGCTAATCGTTAGCAAACATT